AATGCGGGATGACAGTTAGCCATTCGGTAAGTGTTGGCAGAGGTAAAAACACAACCCCTGCTCGAAGGCTTAGCGGCATTAGCTATGAAAATACAATACAATGAACATGCCCGTAACGTGTGGTTGTCTATTCACAAATTTGTCCGCATTTTGGCGCTCTTTCCGTAATGCTCTGAGACACATTATGATGCCACGCCCTAGGTTCAATCAGCCCAATGAGCCCCCCCGGCAGGAATTCTGATCATCTTTCAGCGCAATCGTTTTTCCGATGTCTATGGAAAGGAAATTGGAGACTCAAGAGTTTGCCAATTGTGAGCGGAGGTTTACCATACAGTTCAAAGCGGTGCCAAATCAAATTGCACCCACCAAAGAAGAGGTCGTTAGGAGTAAATGTTCTGCTTTCTGGACCCCCCCCCCCCCCCACCCATACAAACTCTTGAGCCCACCCTCTTCGCTGCGTGTTTCCTTCCCATCCTGTTTTGCTGTCAGAAGCTCAAAGACGCCGACCCTGGCGTGATATTGATCGGACACTCGATAAAAGGTCATGGGTGGGGGTCCAGCTTTTGTTCCCCTACACCCCCCCCCCCCAATCATTTCCCATAAGACTCAGTGGAGACATCTTGAGTGGCTTGCAAATGTCAGGGATTTTTTTTTCCTTTTCTGAGGGAATTTATTAATTATTTGTTAATTAGCTCCCTGAGGCTTGCACGCTAATTGAGAGCTGGCAAGCTTTTAAAAAAAAAAAACGTCAGCACCGCACAACTTGTACATAAATTAGCCGGGGGATTAAAAAAAAAAAAAAATAAGCGCCTGGTTAATTTTGATCTGCGTCTCAAGCTTCCTCGATTTTTGCCGCCGTCTCAGCGCAACCTGTCAAAAGCATCCGTCGGCACCCTCCGTTCGCCAAAGTTTTGAAGCAATTAGCACGGCCCTTGCCGCAACTCAACTTTTAGCGGCGCTAAAAAGTCTCCCCGCGCAATTAGCGCTTGCCGCTACCTCAACCAGCCCCTCCCAGAAAGGAGCGCTTTTGTCAAGAAGTCACAAGACTTGAGAGACAAAGGTGGGAAAGGTTGACTGCGGGTGGGATGTTTCCTCAATTACCCCCGCTCCCCCCATTGACACACCCCGCCCTTCCTGTGATATATCGTGGAGCGAACGCAAAGTCTTCCGACCTCTTATAAATAGATCACAGGAATCAAACTTGTTTTGTGTTTTTAATTTAAAGTGCGACATCAGTGGCGTCAAACTTAAAAAAAAAAAAACGAAAAAAAGAACTCGCGACATTCTAATTGCTAGCCTGGCTGCGGGTTTAATTGTTCTTTTTACGTTTGTTTTTTGTCATTTCCACGAGCGTCGCGGTGACAGTAAACATGCGAGGATATTGGTTTTGTCTATTTGAACTCGCGTCACAAGTCGTCGGTTGACTCGGGAGAAAGTTCGACGTTTTCATTCGAAAGGCTCACGCTCGTCAAGCAAATAGGTCAAAGTTTGTTATCAAGGGAAAAAACTTGAAGATTAAACCGCCCTGTGTCGCTTTTTGGGGGCGCTCGTTGAACAACGTTGATATTCAACATTTCCGCACGAGCTAATTATTGGGAGTGCACGACAAGACATTTGCCTTGTTCGTCGGATTAGAAAAACCCTTTTCATCAAGATAGCTGAATTTGGCAACTTTTTGTCCTTTCGTACAAAAAACTTTGAAAAGTCTATCGGATTGTTTTTTTGATTAAAGAAAACATGTAGCCTTATGCTTTTTCTTGGATTATTTGTATTAAAAAAAAAATCTTTTGCAGCTATTTTTCGGATCGAGCATTCCAACCCGAGCTTATTATCAGAGTGCGTGACTGATAAATAAAAGTGTTTTATTTCCAAGGGATCAAATAATAAAGGAGGTGGATCCTGCCCAAAAACCAAAAACTTTTTCTTCATTCATGAGATGACAAAAGGAAAAAAAAAATCAGTTTGACTGTTGGTGGAAAAAGCTATTTTGTTTTTCCGGGACTATTTTTGGATAAAAAGTTTTTCAGATTAAAAGTTAAAATAAGCCACAGAAAAATCAGTCCGTTTCCTTACATTGGATCAAAAATTTTTTAGACCTTTATCAGGTGTGTTGTCCGCCCACAAAACATAAAAATTTGCCGATTCTGGATTAGGAGCCAATTTTTGATGGAATATTGTTTACTTATCTGGGTAAAAAATGTTATATATATACACACACACACAGTACATGTGTTGGCACTTTTCATTTTCATTAATCAATTTTTTTTCTTTTTATCCAAATAAGATTTTTTTTCCATTTCTAAAATGACCTTTACATAAAAAGAAAAAAAGTGAGTCTTATTTTATATGCAGCTAATACCCCCCCCCCCTTCTCTTTCTGGGGCCTTCCTGCCACAATCCCCTCGGACGGGCCCACTTGGATCGATCGCCACTCGGTATTGACGCGGCACCTGCCGAGGGTAAGCATTAAGCCGTCCGAGAGCCAATGTGTCACATCAAAAATTTGAAAAGAAAGAAAAAGAGACAGAAACGTCCGCCGCCTTTCATGTTTGTCAACACCACCCATTTGCATAATGACCTTAAAAAAAACAGACAAGGGCAAAGCCGCTTTATCGTTCGTCTGTCGCCTAATTAGAGCGAAGCGAGGGGCCGGCCGAGGCTGCGATCGCCTGCAGGAACGCGGTGTGATCGCCTTGACAAAGCGCACCTTTTCTCATGAAAGCACTTCTTCCCTCTCCGTCTTGCATTGCCCCAAAAAAAAAAAAAAAAAAAAAAACACCTTCTAGACGTCTCCGTAGACTAAAGCGCTGCAGTGTCACTTTGGCGCGCATGCAAATGACAGCGGCCTGTCACAATCGTTTATTGACGGAGGTCGTGAGCGGGGTCGTTCGCTTGGCGGAGAGGCGCTTGTTTAATTTTTTTAAGTTGCATAAGTCCATGTTGTCACAGAATGTTTTCCCGGTTTTATGGCCCAAACTCAAGTTCTCCACATTTTAAGCATTCCGTGGAGGGGAAGAATATCTGTGCGAAAGTGTGGAATTTGATTCCTCCTCCCCCGCGGAATCGTCCCCTTTTCCTGGTGTTGTCAAACAGAATGACTAAACGCGGCGGCTCTTACTAATTTATAAGGTTACGGGCGCGACGCGGCGTGATTGACAATGTGATAAGTGTTATTTGAATATGGTTGACATGAATTATGTAACGACGGGGAGAGGCGCCGCCGGTGGCTTTGTTGGGCCTCGCGTTGCGTTGGCACGGAGGGCCGCGTCGGCGTGACGCTAGCTGGGACAAAAGATGCGCCAAAGAAATACAAACACTTGACGCGTGGACAGAAAGAATAAATGAACGCCTTACCCACAATAATGCTTGCGTTCACCTTTATCATCCGCTTCAGCTAGTTGGGCAAAATGATGGAGAAATACCCCAAATAGAAAAAAAAAAAAATGAACGCCTTACCCTTATCACTTTTATAATGCACCTCAGTTTTAAACTGCACCTTTGGTTGCGTGCTTATGCAATAATGAATTTTTGATTGGACGCCCATGTGACAAAATCAATACCTTACCTCTAATAGATGTTCTTGAAACTATAGTGAGCTCTCATTGTATTGGGAACGTGTGTGCGTGTGTTGAGCATGGTGTTGACATCTCTGTAAGGGCTTCCTTGTCCCACTTGAGGTCGCAACAGCTTGTTCGGCATCCCGTCGCGGCGCCACGTGGCATGTTTAGCGCAGCAGCTTACTCTGTTGGTCTTGAGCCGTGCTAATGGGAAGACCTTGAATACTGCATTCCGCCTCCTCCAGACAATTTCTCCCATCTATTTTTTTTTTAATGGCTATAAGAGCAGTTTTTATCTCTGTGTTTCCTTCTTGTGGCTCCTCGCCTTTGTTGCCGACATCCACGCCTGCCTGCCGAGCCCCGCTGTTGTTCTGGGACGGCCCCCGCCCCGTCAATCACGGCTCGACGGCTCCGTGACAACGTGTACGTAGGAACATTTGAAACGGGGCCTCAAAGGCGACGCCTGACAGGCGAGCGTTTGAAAGTGGCTGTAGCGGCGCCTGCGACAACAAACTGCAAAAAACAACAGCGGCAGGGCAGGGAGGAGGGCTCCCCCCTAAAAGTTAGAGAGGTAAGAATGTGGGTCTTGATGACGGGAATTAGATGGTCATGCTTTTTTAATTCGGCGCCACTGCCAATCTTCAAGGAGCGGGAAATCCGGAGCTCCTTCCGCTCCTCGGAGGCCTCGCTCTCAAGTCGCCAGCGCACCTTTTAAGGCAGAAGATAGCGTGCAGTTGTTAATCCCACGCTTGATTTCTACCTCCTTTGCTCATCAGTCCCAGTAGGAAAGCGGAAAAAGGAGAAGAGGCCTCTTCAGAGGAACTCGCGAACGGGAGATGTGCAGCTGAAGCCGAGTTATTAGCGTCTCCGTTTTTATGGTGAGTCATCAAACTTGGTCGCTATGCTCCGCCCACACACACACAATGATGGAAAGTCAAATTCAGCGGAATGTCGTGCTGATGATCCGTCTTGTATGGCAGCAATGGGATGAAATCCCTCGGACGAGTTAACTTTTAAATGACCCTGCGAGTGAGTCACAAAAATGGCCCGATCATGTCTGCTTCAAACCCAACTGCTCAACTTTGTGTCTTTTCAGGCATGGCTTCGTCACTTTTTTTGAGCCACCAATAGTGAGGTATGGGCCTACCAAATCTCTCGTTGCTGAGTGAAGCTGGCTTTAAGAGATGAGCTTTCCCCAAATTGCAGGTGAGTTCACGTTCTAAGCTCACTGGAAATGACCAAAATGCCACTAAAATGTCCGCTCAAAATCAAAATGGCAGCCTTTCGGTGATTTTTCAAGCCTGACTACGCGAGACTTTTTTTTCTGCATCCTATCGTAATAGATGTGTCCACCAAATTGCAAATTGCTCAGTGCAGCTGGATTTTCGAACATCTGGAGGGCCACAGGATGTGGAAAGCCATCTAAATGAAATCATTTGTTTGACCTAAGAATATACGGCAATAAAAAAAAAAAATGAAAGCATTCCTGGAGGGCTGCCCAAAATATCACCGCATGCGTCGTCGTCAGACAAAAATGTCCAAAATCTGGAAAGAAAAAAAAACAACAAAACATGGCAACCGTGCTGTTTTCAAAACAAGACGGAAGAACATTTGAAAAGGCCAAATGCAACAACAGTACAAAACGAGTCACAACCACAAAAGGGGGCCGTTCCCGAGCCGGGTCCCGACATTCACAGCCACCGTCTCCACGGCCCTGCGCGCGAAAGAAACACACGCGCACACACTGTGCTACAAAAGCATGACGTGCGTGTTTGCGTGCGTGTCTGAGACTTTTGACTGTTGGCTTTGAAAGCGGTTGCGTGCTGGGGGACGCGGGTCACGTCAGTCTTCGAGTGATTTTTGTTGTTGTTTCTGTTGCTCGCGCGCACGCCCGCACACACATCGAGCTCATGTGTTACAAATGTTTAGATGCAAGCAAACAAATGCACATCCAAGCTGCAACAGAGACATGGCTGCTGTTGAAAAGAAAAAGAGGCAACCATAAAAAAAAACAAACTGGAAGTTCTTATGGAAGCTTTTGCTTTGGCTTCCAGTGCCCTCTAGTGGTGGGAAAGGATTTGTCAGTTTCATCTGGACGGGATTGGCATCGATTTTAAAAAAAAACATGCATAGTTGTTCATGTTTGTATTTGTAATTTATGTATTTTCATGTTAAATATCAATCCAAACTTTTTACTGAAATAGAAAATGTAGATATTTCAGTTTGTTGTATTTTTTCTTGTTAGGATTTATGTCCTGATTAGATTTGTTATTCATATTGATTGATGATGATAATAAAGGAAAGTTATTCATGGGTGTGAAATAGGCGAAAAGTAAAAACTTATTTTTACTTTCACTTTAATATTTAAATTTATTTGATTTAAAAATATGTGGACGGACAGCTAGCGAGATATAGTGTCAAAAAATGAAGAAAATAAAAGTCAAAGTCAAATTTAAATAGGAAAATAAAAGGTGTAATTTATCAGCGCTTTCCTTTAAAATGTGCCAAAAACTTTAGCCATTTATTTCATATTTACTTAACGTGTTTGCTCTTTTTTTTTTCTGAGGCGAGCTGGGTAAAAAGTTGAAGCATGAATAGTTAAAGCATTTATTATCAGGCTTAATGAAGTCAAGGCAGATGTTTTTTTTTTTCTTCTTCTTCTTCTTTGAGCGGCGGCGGCGGCAGCTGCTTGGGCTTCTGCTTCTTCTCGTTCTTGTTGCCGCGCAGTCAGAAGCTCATTTCAAACAGCGCGCAAGGCTCCCCTTAGGACGCCGCCTTCTAATGTCATCACTTCAACTCCTCTAATGCTGCGCTTTTATTTTATACGCGTGCCTGCTGTGAGACGAGGGCAGGAAAAAACAGATTCAAAATCATTCAAACACACGCGGTATGTTGAAAGACCCCCGATTTCGCTTTGGAGTCTATTTTATTGTAATTTGATCGTTAGGCGCAGGTGCTTATTTTGCATTCTTAAAACTCAAATGTCTTTTTTTCAAACCTGAAAAAAAAAACAATTTAAGGGTATTTTTGTCCACATGAAGCAGACGTCATGACATTTAAATCTTTTTTTTGAAGGCCTGATGTGATGATGTCGTATTGCTCTTCTAGGAGCACATCCCGTACAAAAGTTCACAATTTAAGATCAGAGTGCCCGGTTGTGAGTGACACCATCAAACAGGTGTCACTCACAAGTGCTCATAGAGGCGCTTTTCGGTATGATGCAATCCAACTAGCTCCAAAATGACTCCAAAAAAAAATGTGATTGTTCCATGAGTACGTCGCTGCCGATGCCAATCAAAATTGAGCGCCGTCATCTTAAACGAAACCCGATTTTTAGTGGACTCGGGCGTTGCAAATATTTGTGATTTAGGGGGGAAAAAAAGACGAATTCAACTAAAACCTCTCAAAGGTCATGATATTAAATTGCCCCTTGCATCGATTAAAACTTTTAGACTGGAGCTCATGTCAAGTCTTTTTTTCCCCTTTAATTTTTGGGAGTATGGAGGTGTCGGTTGTCCCCGCTGCCCCGCTCTACCTGCCGGGACAGGACGACGCACTTCCTCTAAATAAATTTCAAATGGCCTCTGGCTATTAAAATAAAAAAAAAATAACTTTCATGTTGCCAAGCTGCAAAAAAAAAAAAAAAAAAGTGCAGGCAGTCAATCAAAGTCAGGGGATTTTTTTTTCTTCTTCTTTAAACGGATGTAGTTCATCATGAGCATAACTTACCGGGGCGGGAGTGGTTGGCAGGTGGGCAGGAGTGCTGGTGGGTAACATGATCAATAATTGATAGGCGGTGCAATGGGAAAAAAAAAGGGCTGATTTTCCGCCTCCCCTCTGGTGCGCTTGTCACTTGCTGTTGTCAGAACACATTTGCTTTGATGACAAATTTGAAGATGCGAACAAGGGCGTCACATGTGATTAGAGAGCTGAAAGGCAGGCGGCGTGCAAGGGATGGATGGGGGGGGGTGAGGGGGAGGGGCTCTGTAGGACCGACTGGGCTAAACTCGGAGGTGAGGTTTCGTCATGTGTCAGTAAACGGCGTGCTTTGTTTGAAAGGCACCCGGGCATGACAGGGTGAGTGAAAAGTTGCCTGCGAGTCACGCGGAGGATCGGCAGCCGTGAACTCGGCTCAACTCGGACGGGCCGTTGATCGGTGGCGCAACGCCTCACGTAGCTGCCTGATGTGGTAGCGGAAGCTCCGAAGTGGCCGTCGAACCTGATTCGAGATGATTGCAGCCATTAGCGAAGTTGACTCCCAAGTTCGACAGAGCAAATGGGGGGGGGGCGGACTTTGTTTGTTCACATGATGTTGGGGATAATTCCAAAGTGATTGATTGTAGCCACTCGCCACGTGACACGCTAGCCATCAACTGCCCATTTGAACTGGAGCACTTGTTGCGAAGGGAGTTCGTTGAAACCAACCAACCTTTGACATTTCTACGGCCACTTAAGAGTCTCCAAGTCAGCTACGTGACGCACTGCACCATGCAATGAACATGGCGCGAAAGGGACACCAGTGAATGCCAAAACAGCCGTGGGAGTACTTTTAATGGGGTTTTTCATCAAGTGAAGATTTGCCGCAAATTTCCAAAAGCTGCAGTGAGCATAATTGACAGCTGCATGCATTCGCTCGCCCCGTCCAAGCGCCTCACGCTTGCTTCCCGCTCTTCCAACAAACCGCTTCCTCTTTTAATTATCCCCCCAGCAAAAAAAAAAAAAAAAAAACGATGGAGCACATCAGACACATGGCGGCAAATCCGGAGGCCCTGGCACAGGCTCAGAGCGCCGCCGCCTGCCGCTCCCGATAGACTTTCCGACGCTGGCAGTGACAAGAGAGGCGGCGGCGCGCCTGCAGATTGGGCGACAAAGAACGGTGAGGATGAGCTCGCCGGCTCCTCATTTGGGAAGGCTTACTTGGCCGGCGCAGTTTTGTTTTGGGGGATTTTTGTGGGTTTTTTTTTCCTCCCGTCGCCAGATTAAGCCGACTCCTCGTGCGGGGAGCCATTGTTTACACCTCGGCGGCGCTTTTGAGAGCGAGAGGAGCCGCTCTCCTATCTCGCGCGGCAACATTTTTGGGGTGACACTTGTTCTATACGCCGGGGTCAACCCCGCGTGTCTGTTTTGGATTGCGCGAATCGTACATCGCGAACGCCCGTCTCATTGTCGGGATGCTAATTGACAAAAAGTGGCTTGCAAACCGGAGTTTGGATGCTTATTACGTTGAACTAAGTTCAGGAGGGGGGGAGGCAGTTAGTTGGTGGTGTAGTGCGTCACAGAGCCCAGGTTTTGTGCTAGCATCATGTTGTTGACTCCGAATTGACCTCTGAACCTTTTGTATGTGAATGGCCATGAACTCAGTCACCGGCAGCCATTTCCAAAGCAAAGTTCCTCATATTGCCGGCCATTTGAGAGCGCTTTTCCTCTCGTCTTGATGCAAAGAAGCCGAAGAAATACTAAACTTTTGTTTTTTCCAGTGCTTGCTTTCCGTGGCGTTCACCATTCCCTCCGCGAACGGCGTCATCTTTTCCCACCTGGCGCGGCGCTACCCGGCTCTCACGAGGTAGGGCTGTGCAATCTCGCTAAAATGTCATCTCAAGATTTTTGTCAGATGTCTCATGAACGATATTACGATGGGTTCAAGCTATTTTTTAAAATTAGAGAAAAAAAAACCCAAAAGGATGTGAAGTGTTTTTTTTTTTTTTTTTTTTTACAGACTTGACAAATATATTCGGCGCTGGTACGAAATGGTTGGATGGCATTTGATGCCGATACAATTAAAAAAGTAGTTCAGTACATCACATTCCCGAACCCGATTGAGGAACTACAGTCTGTTTTCTTTTGTGAGGCGCACGGATGAAAGCAACTCTTGCCGGCGTTGCAGTCGGCCCGACTTACTCCTCGCTCGGTGGGGCGCGCGTCAATCAAGCGCCTCCTCGCTTGACAGCCCCTCCTCTGGGCTAACGGTGTCATCATCCTCCCGCGCGGCTACACGCGAACGCGCAGCAGCCGGCACCTCGGACACAAATGAAGCGCCCCCCCCCCCAACACCGCCGCTATCACGCTGTTCCCTGTTCTCCTTTTCCCCCGTCTTCCGTCATCCTCAGATGAAGTGTGTTATGCTCCACAGCGGGGGGCTTTCTTCTCCTCCGAGGGGGAAGCCGGGAAGAAGCAAGAAGGCGAGGCGACGCACGATGTGATGTTACAGTGCCTTCGGGGAGCGGAGGGGAGGCGATTGTAGCCGAGGAACATTTGGGGAGTTGCTGAGGTCGCGTGACATGGTCGGGGGTGACGATGACGACTGTGTTTTGTTTTTGGTGTAAAAACGCATTTGTACTTCGGTGCGGCGTCTGAAAAACGGCAGATAAGCCTCCGTAGTCTTTTCTCATACGTTCGACATAAACACGGATGTTGAAGTCGCCAAAGAAAAACATCCGGCGTGTGCGCGAATCTGCCGCCATGAGGCAGCGCGTTGTGATGAAAGGCTCGGAGCGATCTGCTTGCGTCATAGGAAATGCGTGCAGAACATGAAACATGAAAAGGCGCCAAAGCTTTGCGGCGATTCTCTTGCCGCAGAGCAACAAGAAAAAGCCGATGCGAAGAGAGCGGCGCTCGCTCTTTGTTTCGCCGCGAAAGGCTAAAAGACCAGAGCGACCTTTCTGGCACGGAGCGGGACGATGTGAAGAGCCGATTCGTGGCGGGATCGCTTTTTGGCCCGTTTGCGCTCGCGGCTCTTAGCTCGAGAGTCCAAACAATCTTGGGCTTTTCCACAAAGACTTGCACCCTTGCCCCCAACCTTCCCACCGTCCCTTTCATCCGCACGCAAGGACCACCGGTGGAAACGCGCTCGTCCCGTCTGGCTTGACGCCACGAACGCTGCAGGCTACGGAAGTGAGCGCATCGCATCTTCCAACAAAGATGGCAGACTTGACTTCTTGAAACTTTCGGTGTGCCTCTCCTCATGACAGCCTTTGCGATTAAATTTCAACGGTGCGAAGTTGAACACTTTTTCTGCCGTGCATCAGCTGTCCTGAAGGGACGCCGCTTTCCACTTTGCATTCCAGGTCGTATTCGACGAAGGCCGCCGCTTGCGGGGCGGGGCTGGCGCTGGCACCTGCCGCCGCTTGGGCCACCACGACTCCATCCGGGCGAACGACGGTCGCTGTGAGTGGCTCACGAGAAGGCCGACTTGACCGGTCCACTCAACCACCCCGCCCCCGTGTACCGCCGCTCACCTTGCACATCAAATGGCCGCCTTTTCAAAATGGATGTCAATCAGCGCGGCTTTTGATTCAATTTGGAGATCCGCTGGCAGGTCGCGGCATGAAAGGCTCTGCCTGCGAGGCCCACAAAGGAGAAGCAGTCAGCCTTGAAAAAGAAGGATCATCCAACCCCAGAAGACTCGCCGCCTTCATTCTAATTCCGCTAATCACGCAAAAGGCTCCTGGCACTTTGAGGCAGCGGCGTAGAAATATTTGAGAAAAAAAAAGAAAATAAATGAATGAATAACTCGAAATCGTGTCACGCCCCTGAAAGGCCCACTGGCTTTCCAAGTGGAAGCTCATCTGAGGGCACAGCCTTCACAAGTTGCAAAACTGGCGTCATGCTCGCCGAGCTGTTTCAAATACTCGTCAGGAATCTCGACTCGACCTGAATGGTTCTGTATGTCACAAAGAGCCCAACCGCGAGAACCAAACCCTACTTGCACACCCTCATCTCGAAGACGCTATATCTGAGGTCCAGCGGTACCTGGCAGAGGGCAATATTGTACGCAGTCAAGACCCTCTGTTATATTGGAAGAACCAACACACTACTTTTCCCAAACCTCTCCCACCTCGCAAAGGAGTTCCTCTGTACGCCGGCATCATCGTGCCAGGCGAGCGTGTGTTCTCCACAGCAGGGGAAATAGCATGCAAGGAACGCAACAGACTCAAATTCCAAACACTGGAGCAACTTATTGTTCTGAAAAAAGATTTTTGAAGACAAAGCCCACCAGCATTCTCATTGATATAATTTTCACATTATTCAAACATAATGAATCATACAATATGAATGCGTTGACGTCAATGATATTGGATACACTTTGTCATCAAATCAGTCTGTCAAATGGGTTGCCTGCAGGGATTTTGACAGTCCAGCAGGTGTCAGTGGTCAGCGACACAGGATCCACCCAGCGCGTCATCGTGTCAACACGCTTCATGCCGCCTCATGGACCCATCACGAGAAAATTGGTGGAGTTTTCCATGATCTTGTGGAAGGGCGTGCGGCGCAGCGGGTGGACGAGGACGAGCAGCAGAAGCTGTCGAAGGTGAGAAAGAAGTCGTATTTCACGACATGTTCATCACTTTGGAGCCGAAAGTCAAGCAATTTTCGGGGTAAGCCAAAGCAGTCACCCTGGCGGGTCAACTGGTGGCGCTAGTCTGCAAAACACCGTTGAACAAGCAGCGGAAGAAGAAGGTTCGCTCGGATTGGCCAACTGACGTCAGGCTAGTAAATGAATTGGAGTCAGGTGTGCAGGGGGAATAAATCGAGCGCGGTGCACAGCTGCGGCAAGATGGCGACCGACCACGCGGGCTTTTATTCAGTGAGTGAGCACACGAGCACATTATTTGTCGCTTTTTGTCCTTTCTCACGATGTCCTTTTGCTTGTTGCCCGATTTGCAGCGTTGGAGGTTGGAGCGCCATTCGTCTTTCCCTTGGAGTACATTGTGCTCTTCGTTTCTCTTGCCACATTTTCAACTTTTTGGGGGTTTGTTTTAAAGCTGGCCAGCTTTTTTTTTGTTTTTTTTGGGGTTTTGTTTGAAATTGTTGCAAATGACAAAACCGATGTCTTTGTGCTTGCGAAGTGAACTATGAAGGGTTTTGGTTTGTTTGACCAAATGTTGTTTGAACATGGCATTTTCTGTCAGGTGGTACGCTTTTTTTCTCTTATTCATCCGTCTGGTTTTATGAAGTTTACTGTCATGGTCAAAAATGTGTTTTTTTTGTCCTCTCCCAATATGAGGAAGCCCCATTACATGTCTAAACCCCCTTCCCCCTTGCAGGTTATTCACCAGTGTCCTTTACTGTTCTATAAATGTGAATATTATTTTGCAAGCCTAAATCGTTTCACACATTTTCAGCCCTTTCTGCTCCAAATACAGCCCAAAGTACGTCTTTATTCATCCACTTTCACGCTGCGAGAGGCAACAAGATCCATGAGGCGAGAGTAAGAAAACCAACGGTTTGAGTCGTGAAAAATGCAGAACCCGATTGTTTTTTAATTTTTATTTTTTGCAGTGTGAAGTCGCCATTTGGGACAGAATGCGCCAGCAAACTAGAGCAGCATGAAGAGGATCTCGGACCAGGGTCATGAGTACATCAAAAATTAGGTGACAGGCATACAACTAATTGTCGGGGCTTCCCTGCGTTTGACTTGAACCAAGACAAGTCATGTCATTGTGGTTTTTTTTTTGTGTGTGCGCTTAACCCTTTAATGCCATTCGTATCATATTTGATATATGCATTTTCATCATGTAACTCATTCTTTAGAGTACATTAAATCATCTATCAAATTTGATACTGCAGGTTTAAAATATGATTTTCCCCAAATTTTCAGTTTTTGATGGACTCTACATAATGCTGAAAATGTGATCCAACAAGTAATAAATCGAAAACAAAATATGGCAAAAAAAATTTTGTGGATTTGTTTATAAGGGTTTTAATGAACGTCTCAGTTCCCAAAAATCTGATTTTTCTGGCTGTTCCTTGATGGGTCAGGCATTAAAGGGTTAATATTCTGTCACTGCTCTTACTTTGCCCTCTTTTCTCCCTTCATGACTTGCAGAGGAAGAATCGCCCAAGTGAAAAATTCACAGCGGATGGGATTTTTTAGCTTTCCCTCTTTTAGCCCCTTTCTCTGGTGTACATTTTGTTTTGCAGGCTGGATGGCTCGAACCGGCAAAGGAGACACGTTGGCGACATAAAACTGTGCACGCTTACTCATTGGGCATTTCTATATTTGCAGGGGGAACCGTTTGGCACAGGAGGCACTTTAAAGAAGCAGAACAGGGGTGAGTGAGGAAAAAAAAAATGTCGAGTGTCATGTTTGTCCTCGCCGGCGCTCTATCACGAACTCACTGGGTGTGCACTGACGAACACTGACTGCATGATGGGGATTTTGGACTGAGGCCATCATTTTCAGCTCCTCATCAATGTGCCAACCCCGCTGACCTCAGTTCTCCAGCAGGCCTCGGCAGATGACAGCTGGCACACAAATTTCGGATGGGTTTTTAGAAGTCGCTGAAGAGTCATCACCCCTGATGCTCAGCTGCAAGCTTGTTGGAGGTGACGGGAATGAATAGCGGCAGCCGGACCCTTCTCAAGGCAACAATGCTTCGGTGGTGTACTGTGAAGTATTTTCAGATATTTTTTGGGGAGGGGCGGCAACGTGTAAACCATTTCTTTTGATGTTTTTGCACTTGAATAAAAATGTGATGTGACTTCAAGTAGTCTACCTTTAGCATTGGGGCGGAAGTACATGCGTTGTTTGTTTGCAGTGCGGAGTAACTTTTTAGGACAGGACACCAGAGAAGCAGAGCAGTATGAAGACTCGACCTGGACTAAAGCAGTCTGTCGGTGTTGTCAGGTGGAAGAGGATCCTTATGAATTCGAAGAGTGTGCAGAGGTAACAAAAAGCATGGCTCTTGAATTAACAAGGGGCACCTGTAAAAATGTTTTTATTTTTGGGGTTGCAGGCCTCAGATGGAGCCGACTGAGGGTGAGAACAAGGAGCAGTTCTGCAAGCGGCGCACTGATGAGGATCATCTGTCCACAGGCTGCCTGAAAATGCTGAACGGGCAGGGCCAGAGTATTGAGCTTTGCGCTGTGCCTCGGTTGAGCGTCGTCACTGTGGGTTGTTCTGATGGGAACGGTGGCAGTGGCGGGCGGTGCGTTTGGAGCCGGCGGTGGAACCCGTGTCTTTGTGGGCACTCGAGTGCTCTTTGGCAAGGCGTGTTGGAGATGGTCAGCGAGTTGTTTGGCTTGTCTGGATCCAGAGCAATTTTGAGGTGTTTGTCAGTTGGGAAGCTGCTTTGTGGGCGACAGTGTAGGCAGGGTCGTGTTGCTGGATGAAAGACGGGTCGAAATGTCATGAAACACACGGCGAATAAGTCCATGAGTGGCGTCAGTAAAACTGTTTTTTTTTTCCTCCTTTCTTTCAGGGCGCCGACATGGATGTGATCTGGAAGAGGAAGGGCCACTCGCTCTCGTCAAAGGGGCTCCGAGGTGAACGTGGCTACTGAGGTGACTTACGTCTGCATGAAAAATGACAAGGCATGTGACAAGTTCCCCCCCCGCAGCGGTCCCAAACGAGAGATGTGGAGGCCAAGGCGCTGGAAGAGCAAAATACCAAACCTACAAGGGAGAGTATGTCGCCGCTCTCTCACTAACTCACTGGGTGTGCACTCACTAACCCCGAATGCATGATGGGGATTTGGGACTGAGCTGTGGGGGCCGAGTGAGTCCGCCATCAAACGAATTTGTGAAAATGCCATGACTAATAAATGAAGGGGGGGGGGGCCGTGACATTTCTGCCTGGGGCAGTTGGGCTCTTGTGCAATTTATTGTGTGTTGTGAATACTGTACCGTCCTTCCCCGTTGTCAGTCATGCTTTGCGGTTTTAGTCAGACATTGAAGATCAAAACTTTGGTAACGATTGCATGTTACGTTTATGATAGGAACGTGTTGCCTCATGGTCCAATTGGCTGTATCTGACCCAAAAAAAAAATAAAAATACTCTTCCTGTCATGCATGGACTTGAGGCAAAGTATGCAGTTAGGTCGGTTTTGTAGTCCTTTGAACTTCAAATAACTTGAATTTCTGCGCCGATGAATGAAAAGGCACCATCCAATTGAAATATTTACTCGGAATATTTGCTGTCACTGAACTTGGTCGGGGGGGCCGGTGAGGGAGGAAGCGGTTCGTGCGTCGACCTCGCAGTGCAGGGGTGCAGGCTCTGACTCCACCTCGGGCCTCCCCATGCCCGCGTGGGTTTCCTCCGGGTACTCCTCTTTCGTCCCACATCTCCCCCAAAATGCACGGCAGGTGAATCGAACACTCCAAATTGTCCCGAGGTGTGAGCGCGGAATGACGGTCATGTCTGTGTGCTTTCAGACCTGCGACGGGCTGGCAAACGGTTCAGGGTGTCCCCCGCCTCTCGCCCGAAGACGGCCGGGATAGGCTGATCCGGCGACCCACGTGAGGAGAAAGCGGACGGATCGGCAAATGAATGGATGAACTCGCTACCCGAGGTTCGCCGTCTGCGTTGCGGTCCCGTTATTGTCCGGCACGTCCCGGGACTCGGAAAAATCCCGCTTCGAGTTCTTCCGACTGCCACACTGAGCAAGGGTCGTCGTTTTCCGAGACAATTTGAACCAAACACGAGGACCGAGGGCCAGCTGTTCTTATTCGTGGGGAGTTCTGGCGTTTCTTGTTTTTAACCTCCCAAAATATAAAGCGTTTGTGTACATGCAAAAACGCCAACATGAGTGACCGACGGTTTTGAAGAAAGTCGGTTAGTTTACACGCAGGAAAGAACGGGTGGCAAATTTTCTCATGACGTTTGTTTAGGGTTAGTGTCACACACTGTGCAGCAATAATTGGTTTGGCTTAGTGACGCGCATAGCGCAGCATTCATTGGTGAGTGCGGTACTGTACGTTGAACACAAATGCATTTTTCCTTGCGAGATTCGAACCCCGGAGCTCAGGTGAACGAATCCACGGCGAATCCCCTCGGCCGGCGCTGACCTGCCGGCAACCGCCGCTCCTTGTCCGTCCATCCCCGACAATCGGACGTCTCGAGCCGCGGGGGACCGGGCCCGGCTCG